AGGGGGGCGCCTAGGGCCTGGGCATGAATATACGGACTTTTTTACTCGAAAAAAGCAAAATGATGCGGTTTTTCGGCAGAATCGGATAACTTTTGCCAAAAACTTTTAAATCCATACGAAAGACGTCATCGATGACGTCATTTTTTGCGCATGCGCCGTGCTTTTAAGGTCTCGGACCGGAGTTTTTTTCACGATTTTGGATCCGGCGGACACCCTCAGACCGAAGGGCTATAACTCCGCCAAAAAAAGTACGCCGGGAAATCTCATTACATCAGTCAACGGAGGTTTCCAGCCGGCTTCCGATACAATTTTGGTTATTGTCCGTCGACTCTATAATTTGGGTAGAAACTGTAGTTAAACGTAAATTTTGGATACAAAAAATGTAGTTTTTTTGCAGTTTTTTCAACGGACCTGCTTAGAAAAAACGAATTTTCCCAGGCTAACGGATTATATGCTGAAATAGCTTACTACTTCCTGTTTCTGAAAAACAGAAAAAAAATAAGGTCGTAATTACACGGTGGTCAGATTTGGGCCCCAAAGTCCCACTCTGCTACTATGGAGATCGAATCCCCCGAACCCGCGAATCTTGTTCGATATGACGTCATTCGAATAGAACGGGCGTTCGATCCGGGGTTACCCCCGGTCATTTACAGTAAAGTCGCTACAACCGGCTACTTCAAGCCTTTTTTTTTAATTGGGAACCAAGGAACAGAAAAAATCCACCTTTCCACAAATATGAACCGTTTTCAAAATATTACATCTATGCCGTGATTTTATTGTGGATATGTAACATGTAATGAACCTACTGCCGTCATCGTGGGTGACCTTGAAGGTCAGAATTCTTGTTTACGCTGTTATAAAATCCAGGTCCCCATATCCAAGTGTCATAGCACGCGTGCAAACATGGTATTTTAACCACTTCCAAAAATCGTTCAAATTACCTCATTGAGGTCTTGTTTGGAAGAGCAACGATTTCCGCAGATTTCTGTCTTAGGGATTTTTTAAATATGGCCGCGATTTTGAATTATCGGTATTTAAAGTTGAAAAACTGCGTTTTTAGCTCTTTTACTGGCTGTAATTCGAGTTTTAGTTAAAGATTAAAAAAATCCTAAGACAGAAAGTTTACCTTTACTGTAATATTTCTAAAACTCAAGAAATCAAACCTTATTTTTGATATTCGGGGCCTCTTAAAATCAGTTGTTTGGTTCTCGTGAACCGTTTTTGAAATCCGAAATTTATCTCATTTAGAAGCAAATGTACACAAAGTTGAGCAAAGACAGTGGAAGAATAACATTTGAGGTTAACAAAATCACTTGTTACATTTTATTTTGACGAGTGTTTACTCTCCAATTACTTTTTTTTATTTTCAAATTTTACCCGTTGCCCCCGGGCCGGCCCGGGACTCCCGCGCGGCCACGTTCGAACACGTTCTGTAACCCGATACCTCCCTAGTAATGCGACTTTTAGCCTAGCAACAGACCGCCGTGTTACCATAGTCTAGTTTGATTTATGGTTTTCTAAATTTAAATTACAATATTTTACTTGTAAAATGCCTCTCATTTACTTAATTTTAACATGTCCTTAAGAAATTATGCAAATGGCCTCTACGTTAGCATAATGTATTTATAGTGATGTTAACCTTCGAGTAACCTACACATTTCACAAGGTATAAAATCACTATCATTTACCAATAACGAGTCACAGAATGTTCCCATTAATCATGCAAAGTAGGTCATTATTTGCATAATTATTATCTGTTGATGTTCGACCTGTCATAGATTAATAAGTATATACATTACATGTGTAAACGCACTATTATATAGAACACTATTATTATGGAATTTCCGCCTTAATTATACAAATTAAGTCTTCATTTGCATAATTTACATTTGATTATGTACAACTCTCTCTCAGCTTGGACTTATCGGCTTTAAAAGATTTCGACAGAAAGTGCCTTGCAGTTCCAGTACAAGCGGGACCAACACACCACTTATTCCGGGCAGCATAAGCTACCTGTCACCAAAAAGTCAAGACCATAGCATGTTCTGGAAAAAAGATACAAAAACCGGAAGTTCTGCTGCAGTACCAAGGTCAGCCACCAGGAGTCTCAGATTTGACCTTGACATTTGTGATTCTATGATCTAAAAACATACCAAAATATCATTACAATCAATAAAGGCGTTCTGAAGTTATGCTGACTACAAATGTTCGGAAACACACACACACACACACAGATGTACAGAAGAGCCTAGAAAAATAAGCACGGGAGGTGGCCACAAGGGGTGGTTCCTAGGAATATTTTTTGATGGGAGGGTGGGGTTGGCCAGGAAATTTGATTTTTTTTTTATCCTAACGGGAATATTTTAAGCCCGGTAACGCTTACTGTTTTACGTGAATGCGCAGGCATTTTGTTATAATGTACATTTCATTGTGAACCCATCAAAAACAAACCTGGATTTCTTATCAGCCATATAACTGTGATTAATGATGTATATATCATGGAAAAAAATAACAAAAACAAACAAATGTCGCCACTGTTTAAGAGAGTAACATCTACTGATTCAAAAACAAGCGTCGTTGGTTTGGGCCATACATAACGCCAGCCGTAACTGAGGGGTCTTTATGGCGGATTATCGGGTTTTGGACTATACTAGACCTCTCATTACTGGGTACGTTAAGGTCAATGTGGGCGTGTTCATGTGTGATAATTATTAGACAATTATCGAAGAAAGCTTTAACAGATTAGGAATGTTGATTTGGGCTTTATTTTATTTTCGAATGTTTTACGGTTAGTCTACAGTTAGTCCAAAATTGCGTCTTGTAACCCGATACTTTTTCGAACGCCCGGCCCTAGCAATCAGAAAAAATACCATAGTAACAAACCTACGTAAGTTGATACCGCCCTAGCAATGCGTTGTCTGCCCTAACAATAATAAAAAACGGTGTCACGTACTAATACAAATTATCATTACCACTCAAGATATGAGTTTCTACTGCAAGGTCCGCTTCACCCGCAAGAAGGTACTGCTGCTTGTGCTAGTGACGGTGCTTATGGTTGCCATTATAGTGACATATCACAAATGGCGGCCAGCCGACCCGACTGCTTTTGTACAGACCAACGATGGAAACCACAATAAAAGGTAAGCCTTCCTTAATTAAGGAAAAAAATTTTGCTAATTATGAGAACCAACTTAACCGTATACGTTTAGAACAACCTATTGGTGGGTTACTTGAACACTAAAAACAACAAGAAAATTCTAAACCTCAGACAAGTATATAATGCGAAACTGCATATGATGTTAGACATCACGTTAACAACAAGTTTATAAAATATTGATAATATCAAAGTTGGCATTCACCTAACAGAAGAGCGGTGATATTTAATGAGTAGCAGTTCTCTATAAACAACATATAGCACGTAGTTTGTTTAATAAAATTTTACTTTAAGTAAAATTCAATATCATTTACATCATTTGTAATTTGTATTTAGTTTGTTTTCTGTACGTTATTAGTTTGTTCTGTTTCTTTTGTTATTACGACGATTATGACTGTACTAAAGATGCTTTATACTTTTACTGTTATTATATTATGTATGTTCTGTGGAGGGAGCGTTAAAAACCGCCATTGGCGATATGCTGCCCTTGGATAAATAAATAAAATGAAATAAAAATTAAATGTAGACGGGCGATAAAAGAGGACCTTCATTAATTGATTGTTGACAATTATAACATAGCAATGTGACGTTGACCAATCAAAGGCCCCCGTTTCATACTGATTATGACGCCATAATATCACAGTTAGCATGATACAAGTATTGAGAAATCATCCCAGGTTTGCACAAGTGTATCTTTGTTGCGAAATAAAACTTCTGACGCTCAAGGTCTACAGTCTGACCTCGACGCTTTAACGGGATGACAGAATTAATGGCTTATGTCGTTCAACCCCTCCAAATGTCACATTTTACATATAACCCATAAAAGACGCCCCATCATAACAAAATATTCTCTTTGTAACGAAGTTGTAACCTGTGTCAAATCCCACCCTTATATCACAGAGTACATCTGTCCTATGATTTGCGGTGGGACACCCTTATTAACCACACCACTAGTAAAGCTGGTAGAGTTCTGTGGGTCATCCGGCGCAACTTGACCCATTGTCCATCTAGGGTAAGGGCCACTTGTTAGAAAGCGCTGGTACGGCCCCACTTGGAATACAGTGCCACCGTCTGGGACCTGTACACTATTGAAGGAATACAGGCGATGGAGGCTGTCCAGTGTAGGGCCGCCTGCGTGACTCTGAAGCATAAAGCGTAAACTGTTCTTTCGGGCAATTGCTGTACGGACAGCGCAGGTGGCACGTGCGTGCCGCGCACATTGAATGCGTGTTCCGTGCTTACTCCGCACTCCCAGTTTACCTGCTCAATGACTAGGCAGAACATACTTGTACCGTACTAGGTGCTCCTGACGTACCACGCATGTGAAACGCACCAGCTTTCTACAGTATATAAAGGCAGTTTGAAGGACGACTGCCAAACCGTCTCCAGGATGCACCAGAAGGCACAGAAGAAGACATCTGCAGCTACAATCAGACAGGACTCAAAGAAACGGGCCGCGGAAGACGACAGGGCGGCTAGTAAGGGCCCCGCTACACTTCTTTGAATCGTCTTGCGTATGAGTTGCGTACGGATAATTTTTCCATACGCAGCCGTACGCAAACTGCGCACTTCATGTCTACAGCTGCCTGGGTATTTTGCTCAAATGGATCAGTCAGTTCGATAAGAGTCAATGTCTGTTCAGCTGTGTTTTGTATGGTGATATCCGGAACGAGGGAGGTAGGTACAATGTCAGGAGGTACTGTTGTGTGTCCCACCCTCTAGACTTCAGGACTCAGGCCATATCTTATGATAACCGGCGTCTCCATCGCTGAGTGCCATCGCTTTTGAGTCATTACCAGTTCTTTCAGGACACTATTGTGGCGCCAAGTGAAACTAATGATAAGCGCAAAGGTTGCGTACAGATCTAGATAGCGAACTTGCCGAACAAAAGTGACAAAAATGTGTCAAAAAATGAATGAGTTGATAAATATGTTAAGATTGGCTCTTTTTTATATGTCTTGCTGAAAAGTAAATGGATATTAGGAAAAAGTCTTTCCTGGAGTGCAATGTTTTTTTACAAAAATGCATTTTGACACTTTTTAACACCCTTGTACCGCCC